CACATTAGGAAATCTTTATCAAATCATTCAGAATTGTCTATCCATTTTTTACCACCTCTTCAATTACGCTGCCTAATAGCTTCTCAAAAGCTAAAAATTTCTGTCAAAGGTTTCTCTTCTCATTAGAGTAGTGCACCATGTCATGGTCAGAGATCACTGTTTATAACAAAATCAGAAAGAGCACATCAACTTCTCTGATGTTTGTCAAGTATAAACAAAAAAAAAAAAGAGAAAGAAATCCAAGCCCTGCTTTTTTAATCTATGAGGGAAAATAGCATACAATTCTCAAGGTGTTTTTGTAGGGCACTTATGTAAAATACCTATTTTTCTTTCTTACAGGGCACTCTTTTGAATTAATTTGGATTTTGCTAAGGTATTTCCAATAGTAGTGAGATCTAACAGGGGTAGAGGTAGACTTGGTATATGTTCACCACTGCAGAGGGAAAAAGTTAAATGTGGCAGGAATATCTCTGCAGGGTAGTTTCTTATCCTACTGACGTCCAAGGCAGCTGTGTTATAGGCTTCTCTCAAGCTACAGCTGCTCTCTAGAGAGTCACTCTTACATCCTGAAATCAAAGATTAATTACTCTGGACCTATTTGTGGAACGTGACTAGATGGGAAGGAACATTGAGTGTAAAAGAATAATAAAGACACCCAGAAATTCCCTAGTTTCACTCTGAAAAACATTAAAAATTATTATTTTTCAGTGTCCCCCTTAATCCCCACTCCTTAATGTAGTTCTGCAAGAATCATAGTTCTGTCCCTTCCTAGCAACCCTGATGTGTTTGGCACATTCACTGCCTCCTGCAGTAACCATCACCCCTGGGAAGCCCAAGATGTCATTAGGCTTATGCATTTTCTTACTTTTCAGCCAAATCCAAAGAAATTGTTCCAGTCTTTGTCCCTGGCATTAGATAATCCCCAAAGTTTTTCCTGAATCACCTTTTTTCCTCAAAGACACCTTTGAGCTTCCAGTTGTTTCCAGAGCTGCTCTAGAACATCCACACAGCTTCCTCCATTCTGCATTATCAGTTTACATGATACTAGAGAGGCCATCTCCAAAGAAGAACAGGAAAATCCTCACTTCTTGGATTGAGTGTTTCTTGCTATAAGCCCTAAGACTGCCAGTAAAATCACTGGTTACTGGAAGCTGAAAGACCAGTAGCCTATTTCACCTGGAAAACCAGCTGGCATCATCAGCATCAAGAGATTTCAAGTGGTGATCATTTAGCCTGTAAGCAAGGGCTATATCAAATTGCAATTCCTTCTGGTCATTAGATACTTGAAAAGTTGTTAATTTATGCACAAACTTTTTCAGCAGAATTCCACAGTTCCTGAATACATAACCATTCAAACTTGCCTTGCAGAAGAAATGTTGCTGCAGTTATTGATCTCAAAGCACACACCATGGTCTTTCGTTGTTTCTCTGGACCCTTTTCCATCAATTCCATTTTATAACATATTAGAACAGATTGCAATTTTTGTTACAGTCTAAATAAACTGTATCTGAGATTCAGTGGGGCCAAAGTCCAGGGTGGTTTGATCTTGGGCTTTGATCCAGGTGCATCATGCTGATGAGCAAAGAAAATGTTATCAGTCAGCTAGTTACAACAAGTCCTTGGCCTGCAGATGGAAGCAGAAGATGAGGAGGAGGAAAAAGGATATACCGTGTGCTAATTGGTAGGTGACAGCATGCTGTGTGTGCAGCCTGGGGAAACAGAGATCCATTCAATCTGCCTCACAACAGCTCCAGCAACTTCCCTGGCCCACGCATCTTCCGTCTCAAGCACCCGCCGCGTTTCATAGCCTCCAGTCATCAGCCTTGGCGCCAACACATGAATCATAGCTTCTGTGGGGGTCCCCACTGCAGCAACTCATTATCATCCTCTGCAGTTAGATAGCACTTGCCAATCCCAGATCTCAAAACACTGCATTAATATGGACATGACCTGGGCTTTAATATCTTGCTTGGAGCCCTGGGAAATCAGCTGTCATTAGGACAAGAGACCCCATCTCCTCACTCTCCTAAAGCTTTCTAATCCCTAAGTCACATCACCTGCCTTCATTTTGTGTGCTTAACCATCAATGGGGAACACTTGTGACAAACAGAAGAGTTTTTCCACATTTCAAAAAGGCAGCAGATAATTAATGACCACATTTATTTTTAGATTCCCATAAGAGTCACATACTAGCACTTCTCCAGTATGTGGCTAGTCAAATAATTTCTGTTTTCTAGCCTACTAGATGCTTAGTGCTCTACAATAGACCTTCATTCTGGATTTAACCAAGCAGAGGGATAGAACCATGAGAGCACTGGTTTACAACAACTGGTGCACATTATCACTTTGGTATCCCAAGCCATCAGGGATGCCCCTCTCAACTCAGATCAGTCATAAAAAGTCCTATTGCCTACAGCTTAGCAGCTTCCTAACCAGTCTGAGAGGCCTGCTAAATGGGCCAGCCCTTAGAGCCCAGCTCTGCAATAGAATAACCAACAAACCCCCTTTTCCCCCTAAAGATAAGAGAGGGAGAGCACAGCAGGGCAGGCCATGGTACCCACAGTATTTGAATGAAGCAAGGAGAAAAGAATTAGAAATGGCCAGGTTCAATGAGAGCATGAACATATCCAACATGCTTATGGCAATGAAGAAGCAAGTCTAGGGTCAAGCTAGGAAAACACCCTGAAGCTCTAAGAGTGAGAATTCACATAGCATAACAATTACCAATACCAGATATAATCTTCTAATTACCAGGTAGATCCATAGTATTGAAGGAAACATAAGGTCTAGCTGAAAAAAACAGTCTCTAATTGTAACCCAAATTCATACATCACTGAAGGCTAATGTTCCTACTAGATAGCTAAAGCTGGATATGAAGCCCAAGCCTGGGCTTAAATAGAGGTCCTGGACCTGTGGGCAGAGGGTGTGGATGGTGACCATGTGAGGTGTGTTAGGGCCATTAAGGCTATTAATGCACTTCAGAACCACAACACAGGTTTCTTCCATCTTTGCAGAGTGTGTTTACATGGGAGAACATCTCTGCTTCTGGGATGGAAAGGAGCTGTTAAACTCATACAGGAGAATTAAGGTAAATGAAAATCATTGAGGTAACTCCTCCTAATTTTCTTCTTCAGTTTAAGCTTTTGCTATAGAAGCTTTAGGAATTAAACATTCCTATAGTGTCTGGTTCCTTCTAGAAACTTGTGCTACCTTTCTACTGGATCTACTCTTAGTGTTTCTATAAGGAACTATTTCTCTAAATTTCTAGACCAAAGCATTGTAGCTAGTGTAGAACCACTTCCTGGAGGTGGTTGTTTGGTTGTATTTTGTTTTGTTTTTTTCTCTCAGATGGCTTGTTTGTTTTAATTTGGTTTGGTTTTCTTTTCTTGGCAAGCAGTTTACTTCCCCCAAATAGCGTTTCATAATTTTAGATCTAAATTTCAGACCAGTACTTAAATGGGGGGAAAAACCCAACATCCCCCCCTACACACACTTTCCTAGTCTTTAAAAGTTCATTTATGTTCATACTTTAAAATGGCTTTAAGAAGGGCCAAAAACATTTAAGTCAAAGCAAAACAGGTCAAATTGAATGTTTCTCTTTCCACTGAGTATTTTTTATTTAACAAACAAAAACTTAGAAGTTAGCATTTAGTGTTGAACTTGGCTTGAATGTTTCAATTTTACTCATAAACAGGATAATTATTTATATAGCTCACATTATATAATATTTTTCCTAGAGAGGAAATCAAGTTTTCATGGGAAATGACTTAGCAGGATGAAGTGTTCTGTCCTTCCCATGAGGTTAAAAGTTTAGTCAGCTTTATCCCTTGTCATGTTTACTGTACACACCTTTTGACTTCCTGGTCAAACTGTAAAATTATATGTGTAAACAGCACTAAAACAGACAGGAATTATTAAAAATACAGAGATAAAAATAGTTCTATTAAATAGTTAGTCAGAAAGGCAGGAGTGTAAAAAGCCCCTCTGCTGATGTTCTTCCTGCTTATCCACAGTATCAGCGTGCTTGCTAAGTTTGCTGGCCAAGGGACCATCAGCTATTCTTCACTGTGCTGAAACCCAGCTAAAACAGATGATTAGTGGAGAGATAGCTGCAGGAGGCTGTGTGTTCAGAACTGAGACAGCAGTTCAGATCTGTCTTCTGTCCTTCCTTACAGGTGTGTAAGTTTGAGTTCATGCCACCGTGGCCTCAAAGATTTACCAATACTTATAAGCTGCTGGTTTTACCAGCAGCTAAAGGTCCAAAACATCTTAGCTATTGCTGTAGTTGCACATTGAGAAGCACAACCCCTGTAAAGAGCCAGAGAACCTTTCCAGTACTGGAGATATGACTTGATAGCCAGCATTCAATATTCAAAATGTGATAGATCTTGGAAGAGGAGAAAACTGCCAATCTCAAATGCTTTTTGTCAGTATAACTCAGCAATACAGGGTGTTACTCCAATATACAAAATATGATAGATCTTGGAAGAGGAGAAAACCGCTAATCTCAGACGCCTTTTGTCAGTACAGCCTTTTGTCAGGGTGATACTGCAGGGCAGGTACACTACTAGGGAGGTATTTACCCCTTTTTGGCACTCACAGAAGAAACTGCTGGGTGGATGGAGCTACGAGCAGCCAGGGTCAGGACATGTCCATTACTCAGATGCAATCATCATCCAATTATCTATTTATATTTTATAGATACTATTTAAGAGTTTCTATCTGTGTCAATAAACGTTTGTCCTTTCCTCCTCTTCGTTACTGGCTGCACAACTACAGACTTGCCTCCCTCCTTGGGAGGGGTGAGCTTAGCAAACAGTACAATTAAAAATGATGGGCGCTAAAATGTCATGTAATGTAAAACGTAATGAGGACATTCCCTTGTGCCCATCCTGCCAGTCTGCCAGCGCAGGCGAGAGGTATTTGTCTCTCTGGCAGAGAGCAGTGGGTCGTTTCTCGCTCGGCTTCCCGTCTCTCACCGGGATGCCTCGCCGGGAGGGATGCAGGGCTCAGCAGGTGGCCTAGCACGCCGCCGCCCTCAGGACCAGCGCTCTCGCTATTTCTTCCAGCGCAGAAGAAACCCCGCTGAATCAGGCTCAGCTCCCGATGCGAGCCTTGCCGAGCCGAAGCATCTGTTGAGCGCAGGGCGCGGAGGCAGGCGCAGCCCGACCGCGGGGCTGAGCGCGGCTCGCTGGAAGCGGCGGCACATTGATCATCACATTGATCATCACATTGATCGCATTGATCACACGGCCGCGCGGCCAATTAGCGCCAGCAGCCGGGGCCAGCCCTCGTGTCTGCGCGCTGCCCATCTATCGGCACTAATTACCGAGACACTTCATGCCTACTTTGGATGGGAATTAATTCGAGGCCGGATAAATAATGCATTAGGGTTTATCCAGCCCCGCGTGAAGCGTCGCCCCCGAGGCAGGGCTGGAGCGGCGGCAGCGGCGGCGGGGATGCGCGGGGCGGCGGCCGGGGCCGGGCGCTGAGGCTGCGGGCAGCGCCCAGCCGGGAGCATGCTGAGCCCCAAGATCAGGCAGGCCAGGAGAGGTGAGTGTGCGACCCCTGCGCCCCGCGGGGTGGGGACGGAGACCGGCTGCTGGCACGGGGAAACTTCGCGGCGGCGGCGGAGGAGAGCCCTGGCGCTGCCCGCGGAGTGCACCCACCCCGGCTGCGGGGGCTGCTGCCCCGCTGGCCGAAACCAGCCCTGGGGAGGAGTGACTGGTCGGGGAGAAGGAAGCCTAGGAGGAGGAGACCTGTGCTGGTGCTCACCGGCGTGGTCTGCAATGTCTGGGCTAAACAGCATCATTAATTAAAAAAAATAAATAGTACTCTGTCCTGGGACTCGACATAGCCTTTTCATCCCCTTACTGGTTGCTAATGCTGTGTTTCTAATGCTGAGTTCATGATAACGGCTGGAGACAGGTGTGTCTAGTTTACCTGCAGCATCTTGGGGAAGCAGTTTGCTGTAGCACATTATCTTTGCAGGGCTGGATGCAGGAGGTGGAGATACTCGTTCTATGAGCTGTAGGCAAAACAAAAGGAAGAAGGAAAACCTGCCCTGGGTTTGCAACAGATGCTTTGAGCAGTCATTCGGAGCTGTGAGGTGTAGTGTGCCATGTTTGTGAAGCAGAGAGCTGGGGCTGGGCACAGCCGTTGTCTCCATGTCAGGTCACCTGGAAGAGATGTGCTGGCAGGGGATGCATTCTGTGATCTACAGGGGCAGCACCAGCTACTCGTTTGACATGGCATTTGGAAGTCATCATTGCCACTCACAAACTAATGACAGTGTCAGAGGGATCTTTTCCTGCCCACTGGAAACAGATTAGAGTAATATCATTTAGGAGCTAAAGCAAACACATTCAGAAGAGTATGTAAAGATTAGGGTTTTCTTCAGCAATGCCAGTATTGTCAAATAGAAAAGATATCACTGGTTCTAGCTACTGTGATTTCTGCACAGGTACTTTCAGCCAAATGTCACTGCATCATGTATTGAAAGCCCTATTACGTGATGAACAGTCCTTAAAATACCGACAGCCCATTAAATAGCTGTTAGCATCTTGGAAAGAAGCTTCCTGCCATCTGGAGGTGTCAGGATCAGATATGTACTGCTGCACCCACAGTAAAGTCATAAGTACTTATTTTTCAGTTACACAGGGTTGTAGAAGTTCAGCAAGTCTTTTGTAGATGCTGTCTTTGCCATCCCCCTTCTAAGGGAGTCTTTTAATATATGTATTATCCAGCATTCCTGGTAGCTATTATAGCTCTGATGAGACAAGCTAGGTGATGCTGCTAAGGTTGTACAGGAAGGCTGTGTCATGCCTGCCATTCTTCCACTCTCTTCAAATCACCTGGAAGAGACTAATTTGTGTATTAATATATGTTGAAGTCTAGTTATGGGACAGACATTCTAGATCCCTAGGGCCTCCTGATACTCAGGGGACAAACTATAGTGTACCTTTGTGATTCAATTTCAATTTATAGCAGTATGTGTCATTCTCTCTGTGTTTGTTCTGATTGGTTCATTACCTGTGCATAGGTAAGTTTATTTCTGAATGAATTTAGAACTCAGGAAAAGAGCTGGGATTCTGGAAAGTTTCTTACTTTTGTAATGCTGTAGCAAAGCACTGGTAACCTCTTGCAAAACTTACCAAGTAGGACCTAATCCTGCAAGGTTCTTCTCTAGCTCTTGTTCACAGGAACTGTAAACAGGCCATGCTGGAGATGCTGAATGGTTCTTTAAGGTAAGTGTCCCACCTTGCAAGACTGAGCTAAGTAGGAAATGGTAGTTCATGCTCCCTGGAGTCTCAGCTGGGATTGCTAAAGAGGATTCACGTGATAAACAGTGGAAAAACAAAGTATTCAGAAGGCTGGGAGAATATTCTGCATACAGTGAACGTCAACAAGGGCAGCTGCTCTGCTGCAAGCTGCTGCTTGAGTTTGGCTGACTTTTCAGATTTGTGGCTGTCAGCTCTGCCATTGGGACTTAGTTGTGGAAGGGAAGCAATGTGACTTCTGTGAACAGATTGAAGAGAAGGGACAAGGAGGGATATCCTGAATATCTGTCACACTTGAGTGTGGCAGAAGGCAGCAATGTGGCTGAAGCCAGAGATGTTCCTGTATTTGCAGAGTTCTTGAGGTTCAAACCCCAATATGTGTGTTTGGCTAGCTAGCTCTTTGCTTCAGGCTCCCCACATTTGTGGGGAATGTTTCATCAATTTCTTTTTTATTTCCAATTCTCTAGTGAGAATGTGCCTTTAAACGTGGAGTTGTGATGTCTGATGCTGTCATTTTTGTTTGACTTGTAGATTGTCCTTAAGAAATCTCCTGCGTTTAAAGACATTCAAGCTTTTGAAAATGCCTGCTCTGGACTTGAGCCTGACACCCAGGGTGTAGTTCCTAATGTCTGTGAAAAGCACAGTAGAGAACAAAGATAATTTGCCTTACTAAAAGTAACTATGTATAAGGCAGTCCTTGCTGTTCCACCAGCAGCCTCATATCTGTAACTCTGAAATGTGCATTCAGAGGTACACGTTCTTTCCATAAGATCTAGGAAGGTGTAAATCTCACAGATGGAAAATCTTAATGTGAATAAATGGGCCTTCTGGGAAGTCATTCATTCTGGCTGGGCCTGAATGGATTTTGCATTATTTTTTCATCTGTAGGGGTCCATGTACAGCAATTGGTGGAGTCCAGGATCCCAAAATAAGTAGCTGCAATGGAAAACATCTATTTTCGCTTTCTTCTTATGTGATAGGGTAGAAAAATATAGCCTTACAGAGTGGAGGCAAGAGGACTTTCTGTATAGATTAGAGAGAAGGCAGTGTTCAGACTACATCCTTCAGTCTCAATAGATGCATTTTTGTTTAATTGTTTTTAAGAGATTAAAAAAAAAGGCATTTGATCCTTGGCTTGAAAAGTCCCAAAAAGGTTGCCAGCCCAGTTGCATTTAAATGTGCTAGAAAATGGCAGTTGGACTGGCTACAGGCTTATGCATTTGTATTTTGAGTGATGTGATTGCCCTCTATAGAAAGAGAGTTAGCCTGCTACCATCATATATAATTTACAGTATTCCTGTCTTCAGCACAATGTGTCTCAGTTGTAGAGGCACTAAGAATAACCCTTCTCCCCTTAATAGGGCTTTGTACTTTTGGGTGACACTATGACCTATTATTTCTGTTTGTGACATGCTCATTCATATGTTACAAATTTTCCTTACAGTCATCATAATAAAACTTTTTTTGTGTGTTTTAATTAAAACTTAGAGTCTAGAAAAAGTGATGGGAGACATTGTGGTTAGTTAGGCTGGTGCAAAACATACTGATACCCTTCATATGCCTGTAGTGGAACAGTTATTTCCCTCCTGGTGTGTGAAGAGCCATCCTTTCACCAGTCAGAGAAAGATGATGGAAAAGGGAGCTCTCATGTGTCCAGTGTCCCTCACCAAATGCCAGCCTTGCACCTGCAGCCCCAGCTCTGCCCAGGGCAGCACTGGTGCCTGCACAGCCCCAGGTCAGCTCTGGTTAGAGGGGCTGGAGCTGTGCACAGCAATCCCAGAGCACGTGGGAGCCCAGCACCTTGGCACCTCCAGCCTACCAGGCAAAGGGGAACACCCAGTTTCCTACTCCTGGAACCAAGGTAAACAGCCCTGGAGCTGTGAACTCCTCCAAACGCTTCCTTCAGCCCTGAGAGCCCACCAACATTGCTGGGAGCACAGGAGGCCCCGGGTGGGAGCAATCAGAGTGGCTGGTGCAGCTGGCACAGAGGAGCCACCAGTAAGGAGCAGCCCACCTGTGAGGGGGCGGTTCACTGCCCCACATCCTTGCAGGGGTGAGTCTGTAAGGCAGGAGAGGCAGTTTGGGAGCTCTCCTCTGGAAAGGTATGTGGGTAAAAGGCAAGGATGAGGTGTTGGAAAGTATAATTAGGTTTGTATCTCAGTTTGGTGGAGGAAGATATCTCTGAGATGGTAGGGAGCAGGAGATGGTTGTAGGGCTGCCTGCAGCATGAGCCTGGGTTTTGTCATGTTGCTTTGGAGGAGCTTGAGATGAAACTGCTGAGTTTAACTTAAAAACCTAAGGCAGGAGTACAGGGGCTGTGGAGGGAGTCATTGGTGCAGTATTGGATTAACTGCCCTGAAGGCAGCAGGAAGAAATAGGACCAGACTAAGGGGTAAAGAAGGGGACAAGTAAACTACAAGAGTTCCTCCTCACTGTGTGCAGCCCTAGGGAGGTGAATGAAGCATGGAGCTACTTTTGTTCTGTGGTACAGGCTCCTAGCACTGAGCTGCTCTGGTTGCAGGGGTGTGTGGCAATGTGTTATAAGCTCTGGGCTCTAATTGGTTTTTTTGTCTCTGTTCTGATTCAGTGGCTGTGTGCATATAGAGATAGGGTCAAGAAAGTGATGTTTGTGGGATTCCTCCAGAGACAGGTTCACATTCTCACCTTTACTTGGTGGCATGTCCCATGAAGAAGGACATGATTTGTTCAAAGGTGTAATCCTCTCATCTTTGTACAGATACCCCTCTCCAATTGGATTCACGGTGTGTGCTGGAGTAATTGCTGCTCTTGGCAATAGCAGCTTTCTATCCCTGCCTGAAGGCTCAGGCAGGCAGTCATTCTCCTTAGAAAAAGCCCTGAAAAGTTTGCAGGCAGGCACCAGCTTATTAAGCACAGGCAGTCTGAATTTGACATAATGAACCATAGCCTCACCTCCTGGGGAGGGAAAGGAGCATTGAGAAAGAGCAGTAATTCAGCTCTGAGGGCAGCTGGACTACTGGGGAGAGCACTTGTGGGGAGGGAATTAAATATTAAAAATCACAAAGTCATAGGCTCTCTAATTACTAATAGAACATCACTGAGGGAGTACAGGGTGAAACTGTCAGTGTATAAATAGCACAGTGGAAGGGCTACAAATGCAAGCACCCT